CTGCAACACTTATAGCAATAATGAAGCCGGTGGTAATCCCTATAAAGTGCCTCCCGAGGTAGTCGATTTAGGATTATGCAGACGGCCCGAAATCGTATTTTCTGAGGCTCAAGCGTTGGAACTTGTTAAATCCATATAAGACTATGTTTGAGTGGTGTACCCATGTATTCCTCCATCCAGAATCCACTGCTCATTGTCATCGTTGTCATCTTGCACACGTCGCCAAGTCTGTTTTCGTTCGGTTTGCTCCGCTGCTTCAGCTTGCTTTATCTCGGGGGCACGCCACACAGGTCGCATGAGACCACCAGCCGCGAGAAGGGGGTTACGACTGAAAGCAGGTTGTCCTCGCGAGCTGTCCTCCGCATTTCCTTCCTCAACAGGGTCAGGCTCACTGACCTCTGGGGTTGATTCTGCCGGTGCAGAATGATACACTCGGCGGACCTTGCCACCCTTGATATCAAGACTCATCACGGTCTTCTTCCTCTCCCACTCAGGACGAGCTTTCTCGTCTATCTCGCGCTGGATGCGCTGCTGCTTCTTGAGCGCCAGTGCTCGTTGTGTGGGTGTCATCCACAACGTCGAGGCGACATTTGGAGTCTCGAAATCTGCTGTTTCATCAACAACCTTGGTCCGACGGGCATTTTGCGCTTGGAACTGGAGCAGCTTGTCCCGGTGTGCTTTCGCGACATCCAGTTTGCTTGGAGGTTCGGACCCGGAAATAGGTCTAGGACCGCCGTCATGATGAACACCTTCATTGTGTACGCGCATCTTCTCTTGTCCACGCTCCGCCCGTAGTTCCCGAATCATGCCTTGCACTTCCTCTGCGGAGAGGAGCGGTGTGCCGCAGAATGAGCACGGCTGTAGACCCTCGAGTGAGCAGATAATTTTTCCACAGTTAAGGCAATTGGGTGCCGGATCAAACACTGGATGTAGTAACCCGTAGCAGGAGCATTTGCGTCTCTCCCCCAGACTTGGATTCGTCGATACCTCCAGCGCGGCGATAGCCGCGGTGAGGTCGGAGATGTCATTGGTTGTGAGAGCTGTATTTCCCTTTGAAGACGATCCCGCTCCTCCGCCGTGACGTGTTGACTTGCTCACTTTTGATCGCACATTTGGTAACATGTCCGAGATCGTAGGGCCACTCGCCGATGGTGGTGGCTTCGGGGATGATGCGGGCGAGGGGGAGGTAATGCGCGCCGAGGCTGAGGACCCATGCGGTGATGGTGCAAGAGAGGGAACAGCTGGTTTTCGAGAAGACATATAGTCTTCTTCATCGGCTTTCTTGTAGCCACCGCCTACATCGCCGTAGTTGTCGGGTCGACGTGGTGGGCCGGCAGTGTGCAGCGGAGCCTTCTTCTTGCCCTTCTTGGCTCCTCCGCTTGGCCTTGGTACATCTCTGCTTTGTGTGGAGGAGTTCTGGGGTGGTCGCTGAGGTTCTCGGCGTGAATTAAACGAGGAGATGAATTCTAGGGCGGCCGGGGAGTCACCGAGGAGGTTTTTGAGATGGTCGGCACATTCCTCCCTCGAGAGGCTGAGCGCATAGTCGATAACCTGAGAAAGAGAATCTGGATCCAGCGGGATAAGCTGGGAAAGACGAGGAGCTGCCCATGCGGTAAGATCAGCCATTTTAGAAAAATATTTAGGCGTTGGTGAATGACAGGTGAAATGCCCGTGGATCCCCGCATTTATTAAGCGCCCCCGGTGCAACCCACCCAACTACATAGGCATCAAGTCTCTAAACACAGTGCCAAACAATTTCAACCCGTTCTCAGAATAATTACACATGCAAAGTTAGTGGACAGTTTTTTTGAAGTGACAGAATGGGACCAGGTAGCGTACATGTTAAGCTGGAATCCAATGAGTTCAAAATTAAGAAAAGAAAATATTGATATTAGCACAAATCAGTTGCATATTTCTTGCAGTGCCTCTGTCGGTTGTATCTCATGTTGTCAAGTAATGTACAAAGCCTACTTCCCTCGTCATCATTCATCTATGCAGATTTATCCGAAGGAAAGGCCAAACCATGACCAGACCAAACCAGACCCAGAGACGCCATAGAACATAACCAGCCCATCAAAAACAAAGCTCAAACGCCGCGGACACCATGGTAGAGAAAAAGGGTATGAAAAACAAATGAAAGTTTAGTCGGCGTTCTCGCTCTTGATGTCGTCGTCGTTGTCTTCAACTGTGAATGATTGCTTGAGCTTACTGGGACCGGGCTTTTTGCTGGAGCCCTTTTTGGGTCCATTCAGTTTCTTCTTCTTGGTGGGGCTGGGGCTTTCTTCGTCCTCGTCTGCGTAAGGGCGCTTGGGTGCCGATGAACCGGGACTATTGCCATTGCTAGCTCCCCCGTCTGTGGGAGTCTTATTGCGGCCGCCGGTGCGACCACCGCAGACGCAGCGTTCAAGGTGTTGGGCGAGACGAGTCATGACGAAGTAGCGCGGACAGATAGGACACTTGGTGGTTGGAATTTCAGGAATGGTACTGTCTCGGTCACCCTTCTTTTTCTTGGGGTTCGGCATGACTGCAAAAAGCTTGCCGTGGACATCATGGCCGGGCAGGTCAATCATGGGGACATTTGTACAGTACTCAACGTGGGGATCGGGAGGGGGCAGAGAATTAGCTCCGGTGGTCGGGTACATGAGTTTCGGGAGGCGGCAATCTGGGCACACATGCTCCTTCACGGTTCGCATGGGATTTCCTTTGAGGAAGACTTTTCCACGGCTGAAAATGGCCGCGTCCGTCTCCATGCGCATACCCGCAAGCTTCTTGGTGTCGAGAATAACTTCTCTCTTGGTATCGGTCGAGGTCTTGCTAGGTGCCTCCTCCGGCATGACTGCGTCTTCCTCCGCCTTCTGTCGGGCAAGAACCACCGCGGACCGCATGCGCGCCACCTTCTCTTCGCGGTGAACTTTGGCCACAAGGTCGTGGATGATATTCTGGAATGTTTCGTTCAGGACGTCGGTAGCCTAGGGAAAAAAAAGGGCATTAGGACCCTTATTGAATAACCATAAAGTTCACTCAGGGCCATCATACCACTTTAGCGATCGTTCCGGCAGGATAGGTCGGCCTGCGACCACCGCTGCTGTTGGAGTCGGCCATTTTCGGATTGCGGCCGGAGATGAATGCGCCAAATATATCTCGTCCGGACCTGATTGACCGACGGCTGTGTCTGCCCGCGACACAGGTAGTGTGTGCTCCGAACCGCTAGGTCCGAGGTTTAGTTCTCCATGTACTGGAAATCTATGCAGGGTTGACGCAATGGGTGCACGGATGTAGGAGAGAGGAAGAGAGAAGAAATCCAAAACATAGAAGCCGAAATAAAAGGGAGAAAGAAGACAATAAGGAGAGCTGAATTGTATAGCCTAGTGTAAGGCCTATTGTCAGTGAGCTTCAATAATGGGGCGAGGTAGAATTAATAGCCAGCAACAATAGGGGAAGACAATGTGATCAATGCAGGTGTTTTATCAACGCATACAATGGAAAGCAGGCATCGAGAACAAATAGGGCACTAACCTATAGAGGTGTCTATTTGCATGCGAATCAAATATCACTCGGGGAGATGAAGAGACGGATGAGGCTGGAGCAAGTTGTTCACTGGGCTTATCTTATCGTATCTCCGCATTCGCTGCCCAGCCCTTGGAGGTGCCTGCCCAGGTGGTTTGTTCTTTCACAAACGACCCCTGAATTTGCTCCAAAATGGCATACCAGCTGTTCGCAAAGAATCAGACAAGGCAAGCGACTTCTTCGCCGTCGCTCTCTCCTCCTCCGACCAATCGTCACCCCATGCGGCCTCCTATCCATCCTCCTCCAGTACAGCCGCCTCAATCAGCCGTCGCAAACACGCCTGGCCCAAAATATTCAAAAGAAGAGATCTTTGTCCCATATCCTCATGATATTCCAGCTGGTGTGGCGACAAAACACCCCCATATAACTGTCGAGAAAGTCAGCACCGCGCATATCCCTTCCCTGACGCGGATCACGGGTTTACTCCTTCCCATCCGCTACCCAAACTCGTTCTACACAGCGATCATAACCGATCCGGTGATCGCTTCTATTTCGCGGGTTGCTATTTACCATGATCACCCTGTTGCTGCAGCCCCGGGGTCCGGCGCATCTGCCGGGACGGACAAGGTGATAGGGGGCATTCGGTGTCGGCTAGAGCGAATCCGGCAGGCAGAGGTCTTGATCAAAGAGGCCAAAATACAAGGGAATGGATGTCCCACGAATCTCTACATTCAGACTCTACATCTTCTCTCGCCATACCGGGGCCGTGGTGTGGCAGCATCACTGTTGAATTCGCTTCTATTTGCATCGTCACCGGACAGCAAGGGCAAGGACTCATACCGGGTATCCGAGCTCGTCAGGCACTACAATATCTGCTCTGTCACAGCACATGTCCATGAGGAAAACGAAGAGGGGTTGAAATGGTATATTGCGCGTGGGTTCAAGATTGACGGTGATGTAGCCGAATACTATCGGCGATTGAAGCCGTCGGGTGCAAAGATCGTACGACTAGATTTGAACAGGAATGAGAAAGATGAATCATCTGGTCCGACAGAAAGCAATTCCCAGACTACAGATTCTCCCGGTGAAGTAGAAGACGAGGACTGGGAGAAGGTGGAGGCGGAGGATGGCGAAGAAGGTGACCATGGAATACAGCATTTGAACGAATCGCAAGTCCTTGAAAATCAGGATGCGCCTTCGCGCAAGCGCAAGGCTGAATATGATGACCACAAGCCTCACCTCGAGTGAGATGTGCTTCGCATGTGTGGCTTTCTGTTATACCTCGGATACCCCTTGCATTTGTTTATATATCTAATTTAGAATAGTGCACGTGTTTATTCTCAATGCGTGCATGATGATATTTTAGTTGAATATGAGAGAGGATCGTGACATACACTCCTACGTGTTGGAGTTGAGCATTAAAGGAACTGGCATAATATTCATATAACTGCAACGCCATGGGTATCAAATCAATAGAAGACAGGAACGCTACATTAGATATTATAGTTCTCGGCATGCAAAAATACCTCATCTTTCGACGAGTCCATAATCACCTGCATCTGCAGTTTGGCTACCGTGTTGGCGACTTCAACTCGCATGCTCGGTGGACCGCAGACGAAAACACACGCACGGCGGCCGAAGGTTTTGGAAAACTCATTGACCATCTGAGTGATGTTTGGGCGGAAGTAATCAGTCCGCCAGTTATCACGTCCACGTGCGTGATAATAAGCAAACCGTGGTGCATGTACTGGTGGCGGCACAGGTTGAGGTGCGCCGAGTCGGAAGTCGAAATTTGAGGTGCCATAACTATTTGTTGCTGCGGGGTTGTGAAGGTTCATGGGAGGCTGGTAGAATTGACGGGTATTGGGCACATGGGTTGCCATGTACGCATTGGGAAGAGCAGCGACACCGTCTTCATTCTCACGGCGCAATTCCTTTTCTATATCAGGGTTGCCGGCAGCTTCATCGCGTATATAAGCGGAGTTCCGCTTATCAATACCCTGAAGCATACCGTAAATCTTCTCCTGTACCATGTCCCGTCCAATTTGGGCGTCTTGCTTCACTCCGGTGAGGAAGAAATGACAGCTCACAATGTTAGAAGGTGCGTAGTCACGGCAGATTCGTAGTTCCTCCTGAAACCACTCCATCATCTCGGGGTTCTTGAGCGCCCAAATAACTTTGACCGACTTGGTGATAGCCTTGCCATCTCGAATCTTCTTGATGAGGTCCAGAAGTTGGCTTGCAATGGCAGTAATGCCACTTCCTCCGGCAAAGAAAACCACGTCGTCGAAAGCAGCCATCTCGCGCTGCATACCACCGTATGGCCCTTCCACAAACGCGCTGTATATTTTGTAGGGGCCATGTTCCAAGGCTTTCTGGAATACCTCGCGTGTGAAACCTTGGAATGGCCGGAAAACCAGTATCATGTCACGATACTTTTCACCATACGCAGATGGGAAGTCGTCGCTGCAAAGAGAGGCAATCGTGAAAGGGTGGCTCTGGATCACGGAAATCCTCGGTAGTCGCAGGTAGACATACTGACCAGGTCTCCAACGCATCTTTGTGGGAATGGTGATCTTTATAGCATTTTGCGGAAGAAGGGTTATGGCTGCCTCTTCTCCGATCAAAAATGACGAACGCAAAGGGTGTGTCCAGTTCAAGTAGAACAGCCGGACGATATATGAGATGACCCAAATGGCAAGGGTTGTGAAAAGGTAGGCCCACGATGACAGGTAGTTCCGCGTGTGCCAGAAAAGCATCGCCACAAAGATGTACGAGACTGGGATATGGACAAAGACAAAAAGCTCATACATCCAATTGCGAAAGACTGGAAGAGAATGGATACACAATACAAGCAGAGGAACCAGCGCCGCAATTCCAGTCCCATATACATAGGCGTGTGGTGGGATACCTATGCTATAGTTGACCAAAGCACCATCTTCCCAGATTGGAGTGATGTAAAACGGGACCATGTGAACCAGACTGAGGAAGAGGCAGACATAGGCTGACCAGCGGTGCAGTCCATTCAACCTCTCAGGACCTAGGCCAGTCATCATAGTGATAAAGTTTGCCTTGGTGCTGAGCGCAACAATCCAGGGGATCATGGCTACTGCAAGCATGCCTGCCCGGATAGCGAGCGGTGGCGACCCCAGCGCAATTGACCAATAGTATAAGGGCTGTGGCACGAAACAGTATAAAGCAACGAAGACAAATGCAACCAAGACAATCGCTGTAACCGCCAAAGACGGCAAAACAAGCTCTATGTTCCCAACCCTCAGGACGGGAACTGGTCGGTAGAAGATCCATCGCGTCAAAGCAATTGCCTTGTTCAAGGGAACTATTCTAGCAAGAATAGATTCGTGCCTCTTAGGTGGACAGACTACGGTCGGTGATGGAAAGAATTGGGCGTTGGAAGCATCAGTGCCTGCACTCGGGAGCTCGTACTCGTCCGGTACCGAGTCGTCGCGGAAGATCTCTGGTCGGTTTTCTTTATAGAGGGCAATCCGCATCTTGTCGCCCCATTTATGCCAGCATCGGACGAAAGTTGTGATTATCAGTAGCACGACGGCGAAATAGACAAATCCGACTCCATATTTTGCTGACTTTGACCATGGATCTCTCTGCATCTCAGCCGCCTCGGCTGTAGTCGTCGATGCAGTGATCGCAACATTGATGCGCTTGGCAATAGTGCTCAGCATTTTGAAATGCCTTAGTCGGTACCGATAGTGATATTTTCCTGAAATTTCTCTAGTCAGATCCATCCCAAGAAAACAGTCTTGCGCGGAGTAACCTACCTTTAGGTATCACCCACGCATAAGAGGCTCCTCTCTTATACTATAGTCGAACTGAGCTCATATCTTTAGTAGAGCTATCAATATTGATTTCATCAAAGTCAAGGCAATGGAATAGGAGTTTTCGAGGGAAATTCCGTCTAAAGTATGAAAAAAAGGAAGCGGGGAGTCACACAAGCTTGCAGTCTCGGCACTGTGATAGCCTAAGCCCAACAACGGAATATTGTGGCTGGTCAGACATTGACCCAATCGAAATCGGTGATTGCAGACCAATTTCTAGAGCACAGGCGTCTCGCCATGGTGATAGTGGTTGCAGTGCGGAGGGATATGGTGTGACGGTTTAGGCTTTAGCGCTCTGAAGCCCAATCACAGGCGGCGATATCAGCAACAGAGTGATTCGATGTGACTGAGCCGCATTAGCGTGGTGGGGAAGATGCAGAGCTCATTGATATTTTTGTCGAAGATGCTCATCCAATTATAATTGAACTATGATGCAGGTATACAAAATAGTTCATAATCTCCGGCTGGTCGTGCCGGTTATTAGCCGAAATTATGGAAGCCATCACAACTATGTTGTATGTATTAATAGGCTCTATCTGGGTTAGCGTCTATGACTCCGTGAAATGCTACAGCGCGAATAGATCGAAGAAGCTGTCTATGCGGACTACATGTAGGGTTTAGTAGCCGAAGCGGATAGCAACCAGTAGTAGAATGTAGTTCCCTTGACGATGAACTCACAGTGATATATTGACGAATTGCAGGAATTCAGTACTGGAAAACCAGAGGTTTCAACATTTCAACATTCTCAAGAGTGTCATTTCCGGCATTGGAGCTGAGGCTCTTCGTCAGTTCCTGCATAAAATGGTTTCACCATGTAGTATACAGCAGATAACTGTCGTGTAATATCGTGTGATATCCAGACTGAAACATCAGACACCCCTTTATCTAGAAATTTGTTCTTGTTCTCCTCTAATAAAGTGATTCCTCCAGGGCTGCTGTGACCCCGCGAAACTCTTGGCAGATAAACAGTTGGTGCCTGGGGCAACAGTGACAGCTTCGACCGCCTTCGATGGGAAATTATTCTGCCATTTCATGCTTGTCGGCTTTTTCTGCATCTTCGATCATTTCCATATCAGTCTTTGACGAAAGTAGAGACGTTCTATTTAATCATGGCAGCCTCCACTACTGCCAGTAATCTGACACCTCCGTCATTGTCCCTTCCACCATCACAATTCGCTCGCCTCCAACCTCACGCCTACCTTCTCGCCCACCTCTCTCCTCCACCAGCGAGCAATCAACCCTCAATCCGCGCAAACGGTCGTGCCGCCTCACAATTCCGTGTCACATCCGCGAATGCCGGCTCTCTAACTCACACAAACGGCAGCGCAGTCGTACGAATCGGCGACACAGCCGCTGTCTGCGGCGTTCGCGCAGAGATCCTACACACGAAGGACATCGCTTCCTGGAGTGTATTGCAGGCCTCGTCAGAGCACAATCTCGACAATTCAAATTATGCGGGAGTCTCCGAGTCCCAAGATGAGGAAGATCGAGGTCATATTCAAGATCTGAACCTACTCGTTCCCAACCTTTCCCTCAGCACTGGCTGCGCGCCAGGCTTTACACCCGGTGCACCACCTTCTGCGCTGGCTCAGTCACTCTCCCACCAACTTCTTTCCCTTCTGCACACCACACGTCTCGTTCGAGCAGAAGACTTGCGCATCTGGTATCAGCCACCGGATCTGGACTCAGAAGAATTCGGCAATGCGGGCGAGGGGATGGACGTGGATACAGAAGAGAGCGGGGGCCCTGAGCGGGAGATTAAGGCATTCTGGGTGCTCTACATCGATGTGATGATCATTTCTCTGGCTGGAAACCCATTCGACGCGGCCTGGGCCTCTGTCTTGGCTGCGCTTCGGGACACGAAGCTTCCCAGGGCCTGGTGGGATGCCGATAATGAGACAGTTCTTTGCTCAGACGATATTGCCGATGCGCGAAAGTTGTCTCTGCGTGGCTTGCCTGTTGCCAGCTCGTTCTGTTCTTTTGAGGGTGATGCCGCTGCTGGCTGGAGGGCAGTTGTCATTCCCAGTGCTGAGGAGCAGAAGCAGAAGAAGAGCGCACAGCGAAGGTGGATTCTTGCGGACCCGGATGGATACGAGGAGGGTTTGAGTCAAGAGCGGGCTTCTGTTGTTGTTGATAAAGACAATGGGAAAACGGTCATTGTGAAGATGGAGAAGCATGGTGGTTGGACTGTAGACAGTGATGATCTGCGCCAGCTTGTGGATGTTTCTGCTCGGAGATGGGATGAGATGAAGCGGATACTAGATCAATGCTGATCGATTTGATATGCCATACAAATGAATGATACCACTACAAGTATTTCTTGCCATTTTGCTTTTTGAATGGAGCTGTGTATCGGACTAGATGGAAACGGTGGTTGTCATGTGAATAGTCTACAAAATACTGAATTGATCACTTCGCTAATTTGCTGAACTCTTATTCATCATGCTGCGTCGTCTTCTCTTCAACGGCGGTTCGTTGTCCCCGTTGGCATCCCTAGAAACAGACACCTCTGCATCCTCTTCCTCTGTGGAAGTTGTCGGCGAATTAGCCTGGATTTCACGTTTAGGCTTGCCAGGGATTGATACGGAGAAGGAGATCAGGTCCGCGCTGTCACGGTCCTGCTTAGGCTTCTTCGTCTTGGCATCACGCCCGCCTTCTTTCGATGATTTCGTTTCAGATTTCGAGTCATCAATTTTCTCTTCTTTGAATTTCTTAGCCCGCGTTGCATTCTCGTCTTTTGATGCACGCAGGTAGTCACCGGAGAAGATGCGCATAAAGAGGCTCTTCTCTTGAGAAGAAGGCTTGTCCTCGGCTTCATTTTCCTTCTTTTCCTCTTCAATCACCTCCTCAGCATCAGAGAAGTCCCACATTGTGTCAATCTCACCTCGAATAAACGCAGTACCCCAGAGCGATATCAAAACACCCGGTACCAGATAGAGAAGAGCTGGCTGGGCATGATTCGAATATTGCATGGCAAGGAGAGTGGTGACCATTCCAACAACATAGCCGGCTATACTAGCTTTAAAGTAGATCTTTGGAAAACGCCGCGCATCATGGTAGGGAGGCTGAAGTTCCGGCTGGAGTGGCTTGACTGGTGGCGCCCAGAACCGCTCTCCCCAAGCGCCGATTGCTGACTGATACTCAGGCTTGACAGTTGCTTGGTCTGACCCTTCAAGACGTGCCATTTGAGCGCCTTTCCGCTGGTAATAAAGGAATAGATCGAAGCGTAGTGACAGCCCAATCATCATTCCCGGAATGACAATGTCCCCCAGTCCAAGCATGGCCAACGGCACGGAGCCAGGAGCATCACGAGAGGTGGGCGGCCGGGGAAAAAGGAGCTTGATCGGTACATCCAACTTGGTTGCAACAGTGACCATCAACGGTGTGAAGAAGACAAAGTAGATATCATAGAAAAATAAGGATCCCATAATGAGCGTTCCTGTCCAGAACGTGGAGGGAGACATGAATTGCAGGGTGCCATAGCAGAAGCAGAAACCGAGGAAGTTGGTCAACCACCATGGGTTCGCCACGAATGCAAAGTATCCTACCGCCGACAATGCAAGGATTCCGCTGACGATATCAAGGAGACCAACGAGGCATCTAAAGTCAAATAAGCCACGTATATGGCCTCGCACCTTGAGACGCTGGTAAGAGACATTTCGGCACTTCCAAAGCAGTCCTAATACCATACTTGGGAGTGGCAGACAACCCAAAATCCCAGGAAGAGGTGAATTCCGGATAGAGTGTGACTTGGCTGGATGGTCCTCGGATGCCATGAAAAGGTGTTCGGACTGTTTCGCTTTCCACAATCGTCCACCTTGGCGATAATATCTAGGAAACACAAATGAACGAATCATCAATAGCACATCCTTCAGGAATGCAAAGGCAAAGAAGAGTCCCATTTGAGAGAAGTAGAAACTAAGGATCTTGTTCAAGATGGCTGGATTTTCCAGCCATTTGATCACCAAGTATAAACCACCCAGGGTGAGTCCCGCAGTCAACGGGAATATCAGGGCATCTGATGGCTCAAGCCCTTCCATCTTCTGCAAAGGGCCATGTCCCTCTTCATCATCCGTGTCATTTTCATCTTTGTCCTTGTCGCTTTGTTTCTTCGCGGGTTTAGCGGCGGAAGAAGGTCTTGTCAAAGATGCATGTGCACTGATCCAAATTGGAAAAATAGCGGAAACAAGTAGGTGTCCGTAAGTTGGAAGAAGTGGTCTCAGGCGGTCGAAGTGGTAGAAGGCTTGTCCAAGAAGTTCGGCGACAGGGCTGACGTCGGCCATGGTGGACAGAAAATTTTTATGAGCACAAGAAAATGATAGGCAATTGAAGCCAGGAAACAAAGACAGAATGAATCAGACCATAATGCCCACGAAATGTGGGAATTCTTTGAGGTTGGTTACCAGCGCTTAGTGACCAGGCACAATTTAATTCACCGCTTTCTGCTGAACCCTACAACATCATCGTGCCAGGCGCCCAAAACACATACCGTGTATTGGTGAGCCCCAATCAACGATAATTCTCACACAACGATAAAATCACAAAATCAGGTAGCTTTTGTATAGTATACTATGGAAGATACGAAACCTCTTCCTTTTCTTTAACTTTGACAATTGTAAATTGTAGTGTGGATTATTGAATCTATAGATAGGGCGGTACTGGTTTTCTGCCAGACAAATTGGCCCAATGGGGTCGCTGCACTCATCCGTATCGTTGATGATTTCGTTTCTCGCAAACTCTCAGCTCTGTTCCAAGCTCTTTTATTTACGATTCTACGCTACGTCCTCATCATGACAACTGAGGTGGCTTTTGACACGTCTATGGTAACTTGCACTTCGTTGTTCTCC